TACCTAGATAACTAAATTTAAATATTCTAAATCATAAACTAAGTCTTAAAGACAGAAAAGTTTCTTTAATTCTTTTAACAATAGCTAAATTCTTTACTGAGGTGCAGAGTGCAAAACAAATTTTCATGGTTCTTTTCATAAAGTTATCATTCCTTTTGTGTATGGTTCTAGGAAGATTACGTTTACTCTTCAGTAGTATATCATTCAATCATTTTTATAAATAAAGGAGATTCTTATAATTCCCAATCGAAATTTAGTTTGATTATCTCTCTTAAGTCTTAACTTCTCTACTTAACTACGTTATTTTTTCTTATGAACAACTTTGTCCCCAGTTAGCTAGATATAAACTTCTCAAGGACGATTATTTATAAATGGAAATTAAAGATCCCAAATTAGAATAAATAATACCATCATATATGGGAAAAAAAAGTCCTTTCAAATGGGGTGCCTTAATACGCAAATTGTTTAATTATAAAAGTTTCAATACATTATATGTTATAAATTATAAATAATAATAATTGTCAATTTTTAGATAAAAATTATTAACTATGAACTACATTTGAATGATTAATCTAAACACACCCTCAATTGTCAACCTCTTTTTATAAATTTAGAAGGGTATTTTATGGGTATTGGGTGGCAATTGAAATTAGAGCTTTATCCATCTACAGGACCTAACTTTATCACAAATGGGAAATGTGATTTTGCTGAAGTAAACAACGATTTCCTGGGGGGAAAAGTTGTATGGTAGCTGATAAATGAAAAACAAGACATAAGTTTATTTATTTATTTATTTTGATTGCACAATAAGAAACAATCATTTTGCATCATTTATCTCACTTTACCCGCATATGTTATATAACTCGAATTCAGGATCTCTTACTTTAAGTGGAAGGAGATGCCCGCTGAATTATTTAGGTCGTTGGCAACAAGACATAAATTTAAAAATTAGATATTTTAGATTATAAATCAAACTTATTTTTAAGTAAATTTTTTTCATAAATTTAAAAATTAATTGGGAAAAAAATTTAATTTAACTTTCAAAATGACCTGTAAACAAACTTTGAAAAAGTTGAGATTTGTTTTTAAAGTTTTGCCAAACGTAGCTAAACTCTTTGTTCTTTAATTAATTACAAACTCCGCAAACAGCTAGTCTAGTCATGTGAGGCATGGCGCAGCGATGACATCCCAACGAGAAAGGAGAGAAGTTATGGTCCTCAATAAATTCAAAAGACCCCACCAAGCAAGCTGTGAATGAAATAAATGCCTTCTATATATGGTAGGGATAGAAAACCTCTACAATAACAAAAATTTTTTAGGGGGTCAATTAATTAAAACAAAATTAATAGAGGGCAAATAAACAAATAGCCATTAAAATATTGTTAATAAATCAGTTCTCAATAAATAAATAGTGATTTGTTTGAACCGAACCTTTAAGGCCAATAGTTTGACCCCAAACCTTAAGTGCTTAAATGAGATGGTCGGAATTTCGAGTTTTACCACTATCGTGAACTCCACTAAAAAGTGGCATGATGGCTACGCACCTCATTTAAGGAGTAAAATGTTCACTAGATCTGAGGATTGAATCTCCAGTTGTTAACAACTAACTCATACTAACTTTTTAATTATTACCATTGTGAAAAAAAAAAAGTAAGCTGTTTGGATTGTTAATTTCCTCTTTTTTTTTTTCGAAAAAACAAAATATAATTTTTAAAAAATAAGAAAGAAAAATGGAAGAGCCCTTAAATTTTAATCGAGTGGGGTAACGCTCCCACCATCCATAGGTCAGGTTCGGATTGGTAATTTCTTAAAATAGAATAATTGAAAAAATACACAGTAGCATTAAAAGTCGTTCAAGCATGTATAATTAGAGCAAAGCCTTCATAAGCTGTGCAAAACAAACTATATCGTTCTTTGCCTTGTATTGATCTTTCTTTTCTTCAAAATGGTGTCGAGCAACCCAAAAAGTGGGATTTCTGGCGTGAGGCTATCATCGGTGGTGCCAGCGACGGTCACCGGTGATAACAAGGAGGTGGAGCTGACCAACCTGGACTTGGCCATGAAGCTCCACTACATTAAGGGAGTGTACTTTTTTGAAAGCGAAGCAGTTCGAGGGCTCACAGTGTATGATTTGAAGGTACCAATGTTCAAGTTGCTGGAGGCGTATTATCCAGCGTCGGGGAGAATCAGGTTCTCGGAAATGGGGAGGCCTTTCATCAAGTGCAACGACGGCGGCGTCCGGATCGTGGAGGCACAGTGTGACAAGACTGTGGAGGAATGGTTGGCAATGGAGGACTGTTCTCTCGATGGGTGTTTGGCTTATGATCAAGTTCTTGGTCCTGATCTAGGTTTCTCCCCTTTGGTGTTTGTACAGGTATCATAATTTGGAAATTATTATTTTTTTAATTGAACTCTTCTTATCATATATGTGGTATATTCTTAAATACATTGATATTGAAAGATATATGTTTAAGATCATTAGAGAAAGATTTAGTTAAAAAATTGATTTGAAAATATTTTGATTATAAATATCAAAAATAAAAACACTATTAAAACAATGTTTATTAATTATAAAATAACATGACTATTGTCAACAAATGTGTCAAGAAATTGAAATTCAGTTTATAATCTTATCTCATATTTTATTGTAGTTATATAATATTAAATAAATATATATGGAAATAGTACCTATAAGCTTTACATCATAAAGATTATGAGAAAAATCATCACAAAATTACGTCGTTTCAATAAATTTTTATTAAAACGACTAAACTACTATATTTTTAAAGTATGCATTAAAGTGATTTTTGTCATTTTTCCTCTTAATTTTTTAGAAATAAAGCGGACAAACACTAATCTCATATCGAGTTATACATTTTAAAGTGATTAGAAAATTTAAGGTTGATGATCAATCTAATTAATTGTTGACGTTCTTCTTTCCATTTTCTTTTGTTTGTTTGTTTTTTTTTGGAAGAAAATGGACTGATTTTTTCTCTTAAATTGGAATCAGTTTACTTGGTTCAAATGTGGTGGCATGGCCATAGGACTCAGCTGGGCTCATGTATTAGGGGACGCATTTTCTGCTTCGGACTTTATCAATAATTGGGGACGGATCTTAGCCGGAGAAGAACCATCAAAGTCTCTAGGGGAAATAAATTCCACATCTTCCTTTCCAGGGAAACCATTTTCCTTGGAAAAGGTTTCCACAATGGGTGACTGCTGGAAATTTGACAGTAATTGTAAAATGCAAACGCATTCATTCCTTTGCATTGATGATCCCAACCAAACAGCTAATCTCTTAGGCTTTGAAACCATTTCGGCGGTAATATGGAAATCAATATCGAAGATCAGGGGAAATATAGGGTCAAAAAAAGTGACAATATGTAGGAAAAATGTGAACAGGGAGAGGGCAAACAATGGATTGGTTTTTAGCATGGTGGAAACAGAATCCTCAGTTGCAAAGCTGGAGATAGCAGAATTGGCAAGAATGATTGCTAGTGACAAGGTGGATGAAAATTACAGGATTGAAGATATGTTAGAGGGGATTGGGAAAGGTGGGGAAGGATCGGATTCTGTAGTGTACGGAGCTGATTTGACGTTATTGAATATGGAAGAAGGTGATTTTTATGGGCTTGAGTTGAAGGGTAAGAAACCGGTGTTTGTGAACTATATGATTAATGGGGTTGGTGGTGAGGGGTTGGCTTTGGTTCTTCCAGGGCCGCCACAGAAGGACGGTGGTAAAGGGCGGACTGTGACAATGGTGCTGCCGGAGGGGGAGATTGTTGGGGTGAAGAATGAGATTCAAAAGTATTGGAATATTGTGTGAAAATAATTTTGTATTGGTCATCGGGATTCATATTTTATTGGTGAATTGTTTATTAAAAATATAGTTTGTTTTATAAATATATTAAAATGATTTTAATAAAATTATATTATTTTATTAAAAATATTTTAATATATTTATAATTAAAATAAATTATATTTTTAAAATATAATTTATCATGTAAAATATTTTCTTTTGGTTTTATCGTGTACTACTTTTTTTTTTCTTCTCTTTTCCTGTGATTTTGTGTCACATGCATGAATGTCATTAGTTCGTCGATGATCTAAATAAAACAAATGAATATCACGTGTTCTACATCCAATAAAGAGAAAAACAAATATCATGTGAAAATGCTTTTGTGATGGAACTCGATTGAACCTGTCCTATGGCATGGCCAAGCAGTTGTACCCCACATGGTGCATTAATAAACACACTATTTGATCTTTAATTTCTAATACAGCTATGGAGATGCTTTATCTAACTCTCTTGCTTCTTCCTTGGCACTTCATCTTTAATGTAGAAATGTTATTCAGCTTTTTTTTTTTAAAAAAAAATTGAATTATGTAATAAAAGATAACCACCTTTCACTTAAATAAAGGGTATTTAATGTAGGTATAACAATATAAAATTAATTGTTAGTTATTTCATTTAATCTAAATGTTGAAATATCAACGATTTAAATAATTAAGTGAGCATCTCTTTTCGTTAAAAGTTAATGATCCTGAATTCAAGTCGTATGGCATGCAAGTGAAATGGGATAAGGAATAAGAAATAGTTGTATCTCATTATGTAACCAAAATTAAAAAAAAAAAAAAAAATCTAAATGTTGAAGTTATTACAAATTTAAACTTTTTTAATCATAAAATTACATATAATTATTAATTATTAGTTTCAAACTGGTATTTATACATTTCATTTATGTATTGTACAAGCTGAACGATGAGACATTGGGGGAAAAGAAATAAAATCCATTATTAAAATTTAAAATTTTCGGGATCATTTTCTCAAAAATGGAAAAGATAGTACCATTTCAGTTTAATTGAGATTTTATTTAAGAGTTTTGATGACTTAAGAACTTTATTTTATTAATTAAATTTAATAAGACTTCGATAATACTATACTTATAATACTAATAAAATTATAAATTTATAATTTTACATAACATTAAATGAAATATAATATAATTTTTTTTTTTTGATTGTATAATGAGAGACAACCATTTTTCATCCCTTATCTTATTACACTTGCATATCATGCGACTCAAATTTAAGATTTCTTACTTTCAATAGAATGAGATAACCATCGAATCATTTAGGTCATTGGTGAAATATAATTTATTATTAAATAAATTAATATATATAATATTAAAAATAAAATTTTAAATTAAAATAATTAATTATATAATAATATATCATATTATAAATTTATTATTTTATTTAAAAATTAATAAACTTTATATTTTTGAACAAAAAAAAATAATAAAATTTGCATCGATATTCGCATGACATTTTTGGTAAACCTTTGAGACCTGAATTATGGAATGAAAGTTGGAGACCTTATTCAGTACGAGCAATGCTAGGGGCACTCGCCTCCTGCACTCTCTGGCGAACACTTTCACTTTTATTGGGCCACGTTATTTTCTTCGGCAAGAGGTTGACTCAAATCCTTTAAAAAACAAGCTTACGTGGCCCAATGAAAGGGGAAGTGTTAGCCGGAGAGTGCCAGGGGCGAGTGCTCCTAGCACTGCTCTATTCAATACTTAAGTGCTTCCCGATCCGGATTAATCGGGGCGAAGCTTCGGATACCGGACGGAAACCAAAAAAAAAAAAAAAACTTAAGTGCTTCCTTCTTCGTAGGGCTTTGACGGCAGAATAAAAAATTCCTTCCATTTGAGCCCAACCTTTGCAGTCCAATAAGAGTAACCATGAGTTGGGCCACAGAATTGCCAAAAATAAAAACAAAAAAATTGTCGAAATAAATAAACATAATAAAATATTAAAACATATGAGTTTTGACTTTTTAAAAAATAAAATTTTAATTTAAAATTTAAAAATTAAAATTTTAACTTATTAAATATTAATATCTAAATTTAAAACTTTAACTTATTTTAAAAATTAAGATTGATATATACTTCTTTTTGTATAAGAAAAAAATGAAAAATATATAATATAAAGAATTAAGGAAAATACCTCTAATAATAAAAATAGGTTAAATGCTCATTTTGGTCCCTCAATTTTATCAATTTGCACATTTTTGGTTCTAAAGTATTTTGCGCACATTTTTTATCCTTCAACTCTAAAAAATACACAACATTAGTCTTTTCATCACTTGGACCGTTAACTCCGCACATGTGACATTTTTTATATTTTTTTTGATAACATGACAAATTACGTGGTATTTTTTATTTTTTTTAATGATGCAACAAATTAAATTAAATCTAAATGTTTATGTAGATAAAAAATGGTGACATTTTTTATATTTTTTTAATGATGTAACAAATTAAATTAAATCTAAATGTTTATATGGTTAAAAAAATGGTGCCAAGTCAAATTTCACTAATCAATTATCATTAAATTATAATTATTTATGTTAATCAAAATTGAGATCATAATTTAATTTATAATTAAATCACAGTTTTCTTATCAAATTTTCTTTAACACACATTACAATTTTTTCTTGGCAACCAAACAGATGGAAACCATTTTTTCAGCATCCAAACACCCAAACTGTACAATTTTCTAGCCAAACAAATGGAAACCCACTAAAAATTACTTCTTTGCCCATTAGTCGTTGTTTATGTTTTTTCCATCATTGGCACAACGTGCAAAAAGATCCTAAAAATCCTTCACAACTTGCAATTTGCATAAACTTTTTGCAACAAATATATATATATATATATATAAAGGTGGAGTTAGGTTCTACAACCCAGTAGATTTAGGTTCGATAGAACCCAGCAGGAACCCAGATCTGCTGGGTTCGAGGAACGCAACAAATGGGTTCCATTGAACCCGAGCTAGGTTCCCTTAAACCCAAATTAGCTAGGTTTGAGGGAACCCAACAATACAAAGAAAGAAGAGGAAGAAAGAAAAAGAAGGAAGAAAGAAAGGAAGAAGGTGGATTGAAAGAGGGGAAGAAGATGGATGACGAAAGGGAGACAAGGGTATTAAGATAAATTTGTAGTTTTTTATTTTTTTATTAAAAATATAAATGCTAATTTAATTTGGTATCCACAAAAAGATGACATATCATCAAAAAAATATCCAAAACAGCACTTTTTTAAATTGTCTTATCCATGTCATCAAAAAAAATATAAAAAATGTCATATGCACAGAGTTAAATGTCCTAAGTGACGGAAGGACTAACGTTATGTATTTCTTAATATTGGGAAATAAAAACTGTGCACAACATACTTTAATAGACCTGGCAAACGGGCGGGTTGGGTCGGGTTAGGGTCGGGTCAACTCGGGTGACGGGTTAGACGGGTTGGGTCATAAACGGGTTGCGGGTTGGAAACCTCCAACCCTAACCCGACCCTAACGGGTTACGGGTTAACCCGCGGGTTAACCTTATTTCTTTTTTTATAATTATTTTTTGTTAATTTTATTATATACAAATAAAATTATATATATCTAAATATAATTAAAATATTGTGATTCATTAACACTAAATATTTTATAATTTCAATTACAAACATTTAAATTAAG